AGAACCCTAATTACTATTCAGAAGAATGGGACCTCAGTCATATCTCTGACCCTGTTGAGGTAATGTGACAACCTCAGCTACCTGGAAGGTCATTAATTAATATATGACTGTTGTGTGACACTATTTCTAGGGAGACATGAATAAAATCTACTTGCCCCAGATAGGAAACTGATTACAGACCACCTAATAAGAATGCCATAAAAATCCAACTTGGTGAACCAATGTATTGGGGTTACTTATAGGAGAATGGGAAGGGGTTACTTAAAGGAGCAGAAATTATTCAAAGGCAGGTGTATTACTGAAAGCCCACGGCATGAATGATGGCTCACAAAAGTTGGAAATCTGGGGCTCACTACACAATCTGCAGAAAGCTTGACAAGCTGGAGAGTGTCTTTTCCTGGTAGTTCAGTTGGTCTGAGCAGCTGAACTGCTGGACTAAGAGTGTCTCTCACCAGTCCTTACTGCTTACAAAAGTTTAGGGATGGGAGTGGGGGACTGGTGCATCTGGTCAGTTTCTGGGACTTCTTAAAACGTCTCAATTGTTTACTTCCTGAGCCTTAATGAGCCTTCCTTTAGAACACCCTGAGTCTTAATAAGCTTCCCTGCAGGATGCAATGGATCAGCTTAGAGGAAGTTGCTATATAAAGCTATCTAAGCCTGATCCCAGGAGCCATAAAATTTAAGTTTCCTTTCTGTGTAACATGAGGATTTCTTATAAAGAATTTACACATACCATTGCTCTTTCAGGTAAGACTCAAACCAAAGATGTTTGTTAATTCATTGAACAGGAGAAAAGCCTTCGAAAAACTACATGTTTCCAGAAACTTTAGAAATAGTAAAAAGCCTGTCAAAAATGTAAGTTGGTACATTGGTCTCTTTGGCCATTGTCCACTTTCTCCTTTTGTCCATTATATCTTCTACACTATGTTCTATGTGTCTCCTCAGAACTCTTTCAACAGAGATCATAAGGATCAGAGAGCCAAATGGAGTCCAGAGCAAGACCCCAGTGACAATGTGAATGTTTTTGCATTCTTAGTGGCTCACTTGGCTTTTGTGATGGGATCAGATCACAGAGAGGCCAGGACAGCAAAAAGACACAGTCTGGACTGTAGCAACAGCCCAGGAAAGAGATGATAGCCACTAGAAGAGGAGTGGATGCGTAAGACATGGAAATAGTGGAATTCTAATGGCATTCCTAAGGAATAATTGCAAGACTTTGTGACTAAAGTGTGAGTGCTACAGTGAAAGATATTGACACTGTCTTCTGTGCTTTGTCTGAGCACCTAGGGGAAGGATGCTACCACTTACTAGCATAGAGGAGGCAGAAGCAGGTTTTGAAGTTCCCAGGGACTGTATGATAGAGAAGCTGACCAGATATGCCCATGGGAAGAGGTAAAAAGTTAGACTGGGTTGGGCTTCAGAGAATGTTTGGTGGGTAAAGCATCTGCTACACATATGTGAAGACCTGATTTCAGATTCCAAGAACACGTGTAAATTTAGATGTGGTATCATGTGTGCATCTATAATCCCAGCACGCCTATGGCAAGATGGGAAGTAGAGACAGAAGAATCTCTGGGCTCACTGGCTAGCTAGCCTAGCATGCATAGTAATGAACAGCAAGGGGCCATGCCACAAACAAGGTAGAAGTGAAAGACCAAAACTTGATATTGTCCTCTAGCCACGACACTTGTACTGTGGCATGCATACACCAGCATTCACACATACATAGACATATCATATATACATACACGCACAAATTTTAAAAAGGAAAGCTGGAGGCCAGGCATGGTGGTACACGCCTTTAATCCCAGCCTTCAGAAGGTAGAGGCAGGCAGATCACTGTGAGTTTGAGGCTAGCCTGGTCTACACAGCAGGTTCCAGGCAAGCTGAGGCTACAGGGAGACGCTGTCTCAAAAATACCAAAAAAAAAAAAAGGAAAGTTGGGCTGAGGAAGCTGAATTTCTGGTGTGGGTCGTGGCTGAGCTTACCAGTGCATAAATACCATGTAGCATTGTGTTCCTCCAGCAGGTGAGATTCCTCAGAACAGATACAGACAGTAGGTAGTGGTCCCTGAACCATGCTCTGCAAACTATCCCTAGGAATAGAAAGAGGAGGAAGCTGGGGTTTAGGAACCAGAGAAGCAAGGACCAGAGGGGAATTCATGGTCTCTCCAGCAGTGAAAGCCAGATCAGTGTTTCTTAAGAAAGAAGGATGGTTTGTGCAGGTTTGAGTGGCCATAGTGTATGCAGTGCTGAAGTTTGCATGGATTGGTAAAGGAAAAGTTGCAAAGGAAAGCTGAAGACAAAGATCTGATGGATGGGACTGAGAAAAAGAATGCAAACCCTGTTGTAAAGAGGTAAAGAACAGATAAAAGATCTTTCAAGGAATATTAAATCTATGGAGGGATAGTTCTTAAGATTTGCAGAATTTTTGTATGCTAATGGGGTGTTTCATAAAAGTTACTGGTGTAGGATAGAGGAAGTAATGACAGGAATAAAGCGTTTGAGTGTTCAAAGGGAGTAGGTCCAGTGTAAAGTGAAAAGACTGACCTTTGAAAGCCTCAGGAAGAAAGATGGAGCTCAGTGGTAGTATACTTACTAGGTAAGTATTCTAGCTGGGTTCCGTATTCAACACTTAAAAAATAAGAATAAAGCCTCAGGGAGCTTCACTATTCCACCTAAATCCTCAGCAAAATTCATGCCAGTCTACATGTGCTACCCTCATGTACATTCACTGTTTTCCTCCATTCACATATACAGCCTCCCTCTCTTCAACAATCCAACCATTAAACCTCCTTCTATTCTTTCAATCACTTCACTTCTAGCCAGATTTCTACCATTGTTTCCCAATTGTCCACTCATCAAAGAGTCTAGCAACACTCTAGCTCAGTGGTGTATAAATACATCCATTCAGCTATTGATCCATACCTACCCACCCATGTCATCTACTTGCTCTCAACCTTAACCTTATTTTTCTCTCATATTCTACCTCCAATGCATATTGTTGGCCTTAGCTATCTGATTCCACTTTTTTTATAGTAACTTAGTTTAGGCTCACTGTAATGTCTCTCCTGGTTTCCCTGCTTCACTCTTGTCCCCACCTCCAAAATCTACCCTTCACCCAGTGCCTATTTGAGTACTTTGTGCACTCAAATAGAGTTTAAGTTGAAGTTAGGCACACTTCATTGCATATGCATCTTGGGACTTGCCACTTGAATCCCTCAAAGTTATTCAAGGGTATATTTGTTTGTTTGTTTGTTTTTTGGTATATGTGATGGGGTACGTGTTCACATGGGTGAATGTGTGTGGGTGCCCATTCACATGTATGTGTGTGTGCGTGCGTTCGTGCGTGCGTGCGTGTGTGTGTGTGTGTGCATGGAGGCCAGTAGGCAATGTTGCTTGTCCTTCTCAGGAGTCATTCATCTTGTTTTATTTAAGATTTATTATTATTTTCAGTTATGTATGTGTAAGTGTGTGTAGGTATGTGCACATGAGTGACGGTACCTATAGAGGCCAGAAGATCACATCGGATTCCCTGGTACTGGAGTGGTTATGAGCCACCTGACCTAGGTGCTGGGAACAAAACTCATGTCCTCTGGAAAACAGTCCATGCACTTAAGCACTGAAGTATCATTTCAACCCCTGCTTTGGTTTCTGAGACAGGATCTTTCATTGGTCTGACTGGCTAGGCTGGCTGGTCAGTGAGCTCCAGGAATTCACCTGTCTACCTTGCTTCCCAGTACCAGAATTAAAAGAGTATGCCATCATTCCCAGCTTATTTGTGGGAGATAGGAATCAAATTCAGGTCCTTATGCTTGCACAACAAGCACTTTATCCACTGAGCCATTTCCCAGCCACTCCAGGGTATGTTATGTTAATTCTCAATGCCTCTGGTTCATAGAGACAACATAGAAGTCTCATGTTAAACTGTGCTGCTCTTAGCTTTGAAGATGAGGTTCATTGAAGCTCCTGCTAGCTCTTAGAGTTGGCCATGTCCTCAGGAGATCTTGCTCCTGTTAGCCACACAAGGAGCATAAGGATACAGGTATGAAGACACTGGGTCTCCCAGCCCCCACACTACCTCTTTGGGGTCCTAGATCAGTCACTTTTCCTCCTTATGATTTAATTTCACTATCCATGAGATGGGATCACTAACCTTGAAAGGCTCTGATCCCAGCACTTGGGAGGCAGAGGCAGGCGGATCTCTGTAAGTTCGAGGCCAGCCTGGTCTACATAGCGAGTTCCAGGTCAGCTGGGGCTACAGGGAGATCCTGTCTCAAAAAGACTCCCCCCTCCAAAAAAAAGACTGGGGCCAGAGAGATGACTCAGTGGTTAAGAGCACATACTGTTCCTGGGGGAGGATCCAAGTTCAATTCCTAGCACCTATGTTAGGTAAATCACAACTACGTGTAACTCCAGCGCCAGGAGATCTGACACCTCTGGCCTCCATGAGCACCTGCACTCATGTACACATTATCTGCACACAGACACATAATTAAAAATAAAAAATAAGTCTTAAAAAACAAAGACTAAATGCTTTTTGCCATCAATGTTGAACTGACCAGCAGCCCGGGCTTCTGGAAAACAGCTCAGGCTCAGAAACAATCCATCCTTCATATTCAAAAAGGAAAGCTCACTATGATGAGCCCAAGTCCCTCATAGCATTTTGAAAAGACTAACAAGGTCCTGAGCATCTGGGACAACACCATATCCAGACCTTCGTCATTTCTACTTTTCCCCCCTAAATGATAAGATAGACAACTCTCTTAACCCCACTGGGCCATCAGAACAAAATATCTGTGAGCAAAACTCTGAAAGACCTCTCCATCATCCAGGCTCTGGGCTAGGACCCACCCAAACCTAAGACAGTCCCTGAAGAATGGCTGCCTTCTGGGAAAGCTTCCCTGCACTAGTTTCCCAATGATCCCATAGCCCATCTCCCTGTACTGCTCTTTCTAGCAACTCTTAGAAAAAACACTCAAAAAAGAAATCTGTCCAAACCTGAGAGGCCTGTAAGGCTCAGGATCAGAGATCTGGTCTGGTGCAGTGGCCCCAACCATGGCAGCATCTTCTCATCCACTGCAGTGACTGCAATGACCCTGCCCCACTGCAGGAACTGCTCCCTGGGAAGAAGGAAGGAAGTTCAGGCTTCTGCAGCCTCCAGAGTGATAAGACAGCTGTAGAAGAAGAAACTGCACATCAACTGGTGCTTAGCTGGTGTCATCTGCTGACACCCTAAGTTCCTGGTGAGAACAAGGCTGAGGGGTTAAGGGATCCTCTCAAAACTGCATAGCAAGGAGGCTGTCAGCCCAAGGTTGGCCATGTGCAGGATCACCAGATCTCATCCCATGCCCTAACACCTGACCTGTGGGCAATGCCTTCCTCTTGGTGGAACCAAAAGTGGGCCTTCATTGTCCCCTGTTCACTCCTTTTTGAGACCCAGCCCACTCCGAGTGCAGCTATGAACCCTCTGAACACAGATCTTCCTATTTTTCTTTCTGTGTGTCATATTTCTCTCTGATCACATCATAAAACATACACAGCTATGAACACAAAATCAGCAGCTCAAGCAGTGATCTGAAACAAGATTCCTCCTAATTACCACAGCATTGCTGGCTCTACTGCCAGAAGGCTAGTGAAAAGCCCTCCTATTAGAGATGTTTTGTCACAACAGAGGCACAGGTAGGGTACATAGACAGAGCTCAGTAAGTGTTTGGTTGTTTCTGTTATTGTTTTGGTTTAGAAAGAAATGTCCAAGTTGTACATTCTCAGTAATACAGCATTATTATGTCTGTGATGTTTATTAGACAATCACTAAATATTTTTGATGCTCCTAGCATCAAAGAAGCTGAAGAAAAAGAGCCTTCTGTGCACGCCTCTGTGCCACCATCTTCCTAGGGCTATACCTGCAGCCAGAACCCTGGAACCTTCCAGAAGAAAGAGTAAGGCAAGAAGCTCTTGGCAACTGCCACCAATGGAACACGTCTTGGAGAAGCCCGGTTTAATCCAAAGACTACAGGAGCAAGGACATGGCCAGGGGGCATTTAGAAACATTTTCGCATATTCTGCTCCTAACACAGGCTCCCAAACCACAGGACTGTCATGGAAGGCTTCCTGGAGGAGGGGGCTTCTACACAATTTGAGGCCAAGGAAGAAGAATGAGGACTGGGCATGCTGGGGCAAAAAGAGTTCAGAGCAAAGGCCTTAGGGATGCTGCTACTTTCCCACATGTGCCTGCTTTATGAGCTGAATGTTAAGGTGTCTCCCAAATTCATGTTGGTGCTCTGACCCAAAATGTGGCTGCATTTGAAAATGAGGTTCTAAGGAAGTAAGTGATATCATTAGAGTGGGGCATGATTGGGTAGAATTTGTGTCTGTATAAGAATAGAGGTTGGAGCACACTCTGCTGTGTGTCTCTGTCTCCTCATTCCTCGCTCACTTGGTTGCACAATGATGGGGTTGCTGCCCATGAGCCAGGAAGAATGCCTTTCCTTTCAACTGACCCTGAAAGTCTTTGTTCTCAGATGCTAGTCTGCAGACCTTTGAGAAACAAACTTTTGTGTTTTAAATCCGTCTGTGTTTTTGTGCTGGCACCCAAGCTGAATTTCCCAGCTTTTTTGCTGAGACAGCTGCCCCATTCCTTTACTTCCATAGTTGCTCCCAAGAGCCAGGCCTTACCTGGACCTGGAACTTGCATTGGTCCCTGGCCCAGCAAAGAAAGAACCAGCTCTTATTTCTACAGCTATGAGAAGGATCTGGGCTGCTGTAACCATCTGGCAGGGTTACCACAATAGAGCATCTCCTTCCTGGAATCTGAGTCAAAGGGGATTTGATAGTATTGGTCAGCTGGGCATGTTATTACATCCTTTTGATGGGGAGAGGCCAGAGAAGACTGTGGAAGAATGGGGACACTAAGACCAGGGAGATCCAGGATGACCCTCTCTGTGGTAGGGCAGCTCCATGGATGGCTATGGAGCTGCCACCTTTATCATTCATTTGATATTAACTGCGCTGATTAAAGGGGATGCAGAACCATAACTATTCAAGCAAAGATCGGGCCCTTCCTTATGCCTGGCCAAGGTGGGGCCTCTAATAAAAAGGATGTCTTAGAGTATACATTTATTGCCCTCCTAGACCCAAAGGAGAAAATTCTAGAGAAAAATTGGTTCCTGGTAGTGATGATGGTCCCACTGGATGGCTGAATGAGTAGGAGTCTCAGGGAAGGGAGGAAGTAGCTGGTCCCACTCCTAGAGCAAGGCACCAGAGGAAAGTATGTGGGCATCTGAGCCTCTTGGCTGGGGCAGACATGAGATGAGGATGTCTGGTAAGAGGTTATGCTAAAACCTATATTATCTGAGGCAAGGGTGTTGCAGAACTGGACAGCATTGTGTAAGCCACTCTGGAAGAAACACAGATTTGGTTCAGGGATGGATGGGAAATGTAACCCAATTATTTCTAGGGCTCAAGACAGCCCTATCAGTACGGAGTTCCCACAAAAACTCCAAAGTCACCCAGGGCCCAAGCAAGTGAAGCTGTTCACTGACAACTTCTTGGTAATCCCCCAGGTTATACACAACAAAAATTCAAATGCAGGTGCCTGTCCCCTGCCAAGCCCATATTTCAGCATCCATCCTACCCACAAGCTCTTTCCCAGCCTGTCACGTGTCTCCTATCCTCCACACCCACCAGGTTGTGGCTTCTGGACACTTTAATTGGCTCAGGCTTAGGCCTGTAAGGAGGATGAGGTGTTGCCACAAAGTTCTTGGTACTTGCCACCCTCCTTTCATTCCGACTGCCTCCCATGTGAAGACTCCACAAGCCCACCTGTGATGACACAGACTAATGTGCTCCCAGGCCACTGTGTAAGGAGTGACTGGTGGACCCTTAATTTGAGGGCAAGGAATCAGCAAAAAAGAAGGGCAAAGAGAGAGATGGCTCAGCTGTTAAGAACACTGGCTACTCTTCCAGAGGACCCCAGTTCAGTTCCTAGCACCCACATGGTGGCTAACAACTGTCTGTAACGTCAGTTCCAAGGGATTCAACATCCTCTTCTGACCTCCATGCACAATGCATGACACAAGGTACATATATATATA